TGTTTTATTGACAAAAACCTTCTGTTTATACTCTGACAATTACACAGCAGACACTGACATCTTCAAGTGGGCCATGCCTACGTGTATGCATGGATTCCAGATTTGAACGCCAGGAGCAACCTGGCCAGACCATGTACATCCCGGTAAAAGCATTCCAGAAATGAGAGCTCCTTCTGCTTGTAGATGTTACCCCAGTAGCTAGTTTGCAAGAAGATGTAACTTGGTCCTTTCTTGTTTTTTCCTGGCATTTCCAGGTCAAGCAGAGTAAGTTACAAACCAGCTGCTAACCCTTTTCTTCCCAATTGGTATAAAAAGAAAGATTCAGAAAGCTCTTAGAAATCAAAAAGATGATAGTGGAAGTAAATATTTCAATGGAAAGCGGGAAACATAATGCTATGGAAATATTCCATCAGATAGAGCAAAAGGCAAAGAGACGAATACAGAACAACCTCCGCCTCCCAGGTTCTAGCGATTCTCCTGCCACACCCTCCTGAGCAGCTGGAATTACAGGTGTACACCACCACACCCGGCTAATTTTGTATTTTTAGTAGAGACAGGGTTTCTCCATGTTGGTCAGGCTCGAACTCTTGACCTCAGTTGATCCGCCTGCCTCGCCCTCCCAAAGTGCTGGGATTACAGGCACGAGCCACCACACCCAGCTTTGTATAGTTTTTAAAAAGATAAAAAATCTGTTTCCATCCATGTCTCCATCCATCCTGACCACAATCTTCCACATACACATCGTTTACTATTTTCTTTTTATGTTCCTTAATGTAACAAATAATTTGATATACCCCTGATGTTATATGTGTATATCTCTAGGATAAATTCTCATCAGTAGGAGTTTCAGGTCACAGAATAAATGCATTTGTAATTTGGGGGGATATTGCCAAATTGCCCTACATAGAGATTCTATTATAACATGTGCAATCACACCAGCAATGTATGAAAGAGCCTGTTTCTCTACAGCTTTGCCAAGAATGCATTGTAAAGCTTTTAGATTTTGCTAATCTGAGAAGTGAAAATGGTAAATTCAACTTAATTTGCATTCGTCTAATTATGAATTGGATTTAACATCTTTTCACAAATGTTTTAACATTTGTATTTCTTTTTTGTAAAATGTCTTTTCAAGTCCTCCACTCTTATCTTATCAGGTCACTTTTTCTCACCAATTTGTGTGTGTGTGTGTGTGTGTGTGTGTGTGTGTGTGTGAATGTATTGAGAAAAGAGCTATACTTCTGACAATGAGTTTGGAAACTAAATAATATTATTGGGAATAGAGAAAGAAGAAAAGGTATTATGGTTACAAGAGCCAAAACCTCTTTTTCCACAATAGGGGATGATAAGAAATAATATCTAAAATTGAAGTCAAGAAATAGCATTAGAGAAACTCAGTGGCTCATGCCTGTAATCCCAGCACTTTAGGAGACTGAGATGAAAGGATCATTTGGGGCCAGAAGTTCAAACCTAGCCTGGGCAATGTAGTGAGATTCCATCTCTACAAAAATTTTAAAATTTAAATTATCTGAGTGGTGGCACATGCTTGTAGTCCCAGCTACTTGGGAGGCTGAGACAAAAAGGTCACCTGAACTTGGGAGTTTTAAGGCTTCAGCGAGCCATGAAGCCTTAAAAGCATGGGCAAAAAGTGAGATCTCATCTCAAATATATATATATATATATATTTTTTTTTAATTAATGTTTGCATATTCTGTTTTCTCAGAAGATTCTCTTCCTCTGTTTGCTGACAGTTACTGAGAAGAAAGATTTCCTTGCTATCAAAAAACCTCAGAACCCTAATCTAAGTGTTTTCTTCCTATAGTATCGCAAAATGCAAATCAGTAAAGAAACGAATCTGAGAGATCCAAGTGTAAACACAGCAAGCTTCTTTCATAGTTTTGAGTCACTTCATTCAACCCATTCCACGGCTATTTTTCAATTTGCACTTCTAGTCCTCTGTATTCATTTCCTAGACCTAGTACCACAAACTAGGTAGCCTAAAACAACAAAAACTCATTGTCTGACAGTTCTGGAAACTACAAGTTTGAAAGTGTCGGTAAACTGTGCTCTCCCTGAAGGCTCTACACTAGGATCCTTCCATCCTCCCATCTTTCCTTACCTCTATCTAGCTTTTGATAGTTTATTGTTTGCCTACTTTGTTGTAGTTGCCATTTGGAGACAGAGTCAGGCTCTGTCACTCAGGCTGGAGTGCAGTGGCACAATCATGGCTCACTGCAGCCTCATCCTGGGCTCAAGCGATCCTCCTACCTCAGCGTCCCAAGTAGCTAGGACTACAGGCCTGTGTTGCCACATCCAGTTAATGTATTTTAATTTTTTATAGAGACAGTGTCTCACTGTGTTGTCCTGGCTGTTCTCCAACTCCTGGCCTCAAGCTATCCACTCACCTTGCCCTCCTAAAGTGCTGGGATTACAGGCCTGAAACACTGTGCCCAGCCTGGGTGGTTCCCTGTTGTTGTTCCTTGACTTGTAGACACATCACCACAAGCCTCCGTCATCACATAATGTTTTCTCCGTGTCTAAATTTCCTCCTTTTTTTTTGATACAGAGTCTTGCTCTTGTCACCTGGCTGGAGTGCAATGGCACGATCTCTGCTCACTGCAACCTCCACCTCCCAGGTGCAGCGATTCTCCTGCTTCAGCCCCCCGAGTAGCTGGGCTTACAGGCACCTGCCACCACACCTGGCTAATTTTTTGCATTTTTAGTAGAGACAGGGTTTCGCCATGTTGTCCAGGCTGGTCTTGAACTCCTGACCTCATGATCTACCTGCCTCGGTCTTCCCAAGTGCTGGGATTACAGGTGTGAGCCACCGCACCTGGCCTATTTCCTTCCTTTTATCTTGATCACATTGCAAAGATTTTATTTCCAAATAAGATCACATTCATAAGTACCAGAGGTTAGGACTGCAGCACATCTTTTTGGGAAACATTCAGCTCACACATACCTTCCCAGCTAATCATTTTGTTTATTCTAACATATTTTTTCTTCTCTTTTCCACCGGACTTCACCTTTGCCTTTCTTCTGTGAAGCCAAAGTAAGCTTTTCTGAGTAATACAACTGTCTCAGGGCATATTCTGAATATGCCCCAACCCAGACCCACCAGTCCCAGGAAAACTGTATACCCTGTTATCCTATTCTAGTTTCTTCAAGTGGGAAACCCCACAATTAATGTTGCCTATTAAATTTGATATCCAGGCTGGGAACAGTGGCTCACGTCTGTAATCCCAGCACTTTGGGAGGCCGCGGTGGGTGGATCACCTGAGGTCAGGAGTTTGAGACTAGCCTGACTAATATGGTAAAACCCCATCTCTACTAAAAATACAAAAATTAGCCAGGTGTGGTGGTGTGTACCTGTAGTCCCAGCTAACTGAACCCGAGAGGTGGAGGTTGCAGTGAACCAAGGTCACACATCTGCACTCCAGCCTTGGCGACAGAGTGAGACTCGGTCTCAAAAAAGGAATTAATTAATTAATTTTAAAAATTTGATATCCAATGATAGAATGATCTCAGCACAAAAATGAACAGGAGAAATAATGATGTGTTTGAAAGAGCACAGGGTTTGGAATCAGAAAACCTGAGTCGCAATTCCAGTGTCAATACTTAAAACAGAACCAATCTAGTTCTTCTAAATGCTAGTACAATATTCAGCACTGTAAGTCTAAAGGCTCCACCTGTGACCCAAATTCAACTCCCACACCAAGAGTGGTCCTAGATTGTACCGAAAGCTGCATCTAAATTGAAATGCAAACGCCCAAGGAGAAGGAAAAGAAGGGAACCAGAGGAAGAGAATAAAGAGGAGGAAAGGACGAGTGAAAGGAAGAGGAGAAAGAGGAGAGAGACAGGAGGAAACTGCAAAATAAAATTTCCAGAAAACCTCTTTTAACAATTTTTGAGCAGATACACAGAAAAAAAAAAAAAAAAATCCCAAAAGGAAAGTGTCTCTTGGAGCTTCCCTAAAGATGAATGGAAAGAAGTCACTGGCAGTTACCAGCCTGTATTTCATGCTATTTTGGTTACGGGGTGAGTCATACATGCTGGGTAGTGAATTTCCCAGGCTTTCAAATTTAAATAGGAGTAGATAGTGCAAGGCATTCATTTTAGCATGGAGTGTTTTCTCCTGCTGGTCATAAAAGGAATCCATTGTGTTATGATTAGGTCATGCTTGACGCACCTCAGGAATGTTCTCAGAGTGACAGAATATTTATTTCTCAGCGATGTCTCCAAGGTTCAAGGAAGTCTGATCAGCAAACTTACAAAGGCCTTGTGACCCTAATAGGGTCTAAGACAAGTCCTCCCCTTCTTTTGTGGGCGGGCTGTTATCGTTAATCCAGCTGCCTCAGTAATGACGCCCACCTTTTCGTGCTACACGTGGAATAAGAGAGTAATTAACAGAGCCTGATCACACCAAAAGAAAATCCTGCTTTTGAAAAAATCTTGCTTCAGAATAATTTAATTGTGCTTCACATGTTTTGAACAACAATTTTAGACTGGAATTCAACTTACTACTAGTAATAACATGCCATTTTTTCTCCATCTGTCATAATTACTCAATAAATACATAGACTTCAGAAACTGCATCTAAAATTATTCATGCAAGTGGTGTACTTTCTGATCAAACCATGGCAGGCTGTGAGTGGTGCCATCAATCTTTGTTTTTCTTTTCTTTTCTTTTCGAGACAGAGTCTCGCTCTGTCACCCAGGCTGGAGTGTAGTGGCGCAATCTCGGCTCACTGCAACCTCTGCCTCCCAGGTTCAAGTGATTCTCCTACCTCAACCTCCCCAGGAGTTGGGATTACAGGCTCACACCACTACACCCAGAGCTAATTTGTTTGTATTTTCAGTAGAGACGGGGTTTCATCATGTCGGCCAGGCTGGTCCCAACTCCTGACCTCAGGTGATCCACCCACCTCAGCCTCCCAAAGTGGTAGGATTACAGGGGTGAGCCACCACACCCAACCTTTCTTTTTTTAAAAAAAAAATCCCCTTCAAGTCCCCCCACTGACAATACAGATGAGTCACAGGACTTGGGTTAAGGTGTATACGGGACAGGTTAATTCAGCCTCCTCTTTCTATTTGGTTGGGGTAAGAACACATCCTGTACTGAGCATCAGGAGGCTGACGCCACAAATCTTTGAGACAAAACTTACGAGATTGTAGCTTCTGAAATAGCAAATCCAGGCCCAAAGTGGCACTGAGCTAAGGACCCAGCACCTACCAGTTCCTGTTTGAATTTGTCACTCATACTTGACAGGTGATTACTTCTCCTCAGATTTTTTTACTTAAAGGGACATTGGGTGAGAGACTGGGGATAGGAAAAAGGGCAATTAGGTTATTGCTTAGCGGTTGTTACTGAATGAGATTAACTGTGGCTTCTTTCCATTCAAATATCAAATTACAAAAATGGAAATCTTTCTTGAAACTCATAAAACTTACTTTAAGGAATATTTAGGTTTAACAACACAACTCATTTTTTGTTTTTATGTTGTTGTTGTCGTTGTTTTTGTGACAGGGCAGCGCTCTGTTGCACAGCTCACTGGAACTTCCACCTCCAGGGCTCAAGCCATCCTACCACCTCAGCCTCCTGAGTAGCTGGGACTACAGGCACACACCACCATGCCCAGCTAATTTTTGTATTTTTAGTAGAGATGGGGTTTCACCTTGTTGACCAGGATGGTCTCGATCTCTTGACCTTGTGATCCACCCGCCTTGGCCTCCCAAAGTGCTGGGATTATAGGCGTGAGCCACCGCGCCCAGCCGGTCACGTCTTACAGTATCCTCCACTGCTTGACCCTGGTCGTCTATCTATAGGCAGCAGTTGGTTAGATTGAATTTTCCACAGACTCCTTCAGCTGCCAGCAAATAATCTAAGGCCAACTGGTTCTGATAAATCGCATTTCTCATTTGAGTTTCTTTTCAGGCCAAAATGGACAGAGCTTTGCCCGTTTCATTAGTGAGTATTTCCAAAACAGCCTGCGACCCAATGATCTGATTGAGCCTGTAAATAGGACTCCAGTGTCCCCATGAGCTATCCTCCCCCATGTGGCCAGCCCATAATACTCAATAATTCTCTCCGGTGGCCACTCCTCATCTTTCCATTCACCTATCTTTAGACTTATTTTCTCCAGGTGGAGTAGACCAAATATCCTACGGCTCACCTGCCTTAACAGGTAATAAGAAAAAGGAAGGCTTAATGGTGCCTATGACACAGCTACATGTCCATCTTTCCGGCCGTGGTACATATGCTCTATGTCCACATATCCAGTACAAGCCAGCCCGGGCCATCCAGTCTCTCCAATACCCGGGATGGTTCCAAGCATCCTGTAATTATGGGAATTTCAGGAGGGGGTTTTTCTCTGTGTAGTTTGAGCCCCACCAGGTTGCAGTGTCCACTGTTCCATTATATAGTTGCTGCCCTAGGCAGCTAAGCTTTCCTACCGCAACAGTGAGGTCTTTTCCTTCAAACCGTATAGTCCAATAATTGGATCCTGAATTTTAGAGTTGGATCCTAAAACCCAGAAACTGTTGGTTTGAATTCTTTGAACTGAGGTCAGGTCAGGGACAGGGTCAGAGGGTACTAACTCACAGGCTTCCCATGGCCACCGATGACCCATGGTAGTTCCCTCACACACATAGCAAGAAGTGACGGCAGCGTTCGTGCCAAGGGCTTGAGACAGTTAGCGTGACTTGCCCCATCTTGGCTGCTGGACCTATCTGCTCTCCCCCCGCTCTCGAGTCGAGGTAAAAATGGCTAAGCCACTGAGGCAAAAGCAGAATGCAGAGTAAGGGCCTGCAGTTTATGAGGACATTGTGCTGACTGCTTTCATATCCCTTTTAGTCTGTGTGTAAGCAACAGGCTTGCTGCAATTGAGATGCCTGAGATGGGCAAAGACCCCTGCCCATATTTTCTCAGGAGCTGAGCCTCTGTTCTACCTCCTGATGGGAAACATGATTAACAAGCCACCTTAAGGGCACCATTGTTTGCTTGCACTGTGTATCTTTGAAAAACATATATTAACTCTTAGACTGCTTTGTAAGCTGTTATCACAAGCCCCCTTAAAACTGCTTTCTGAGCTGTTATCACAAGGCCCTGATAACTATTTTTATGTGGTTTCTGTTCTCTTTTCTGTTTACCCCTTTTTCTGCTGAGATAAAGTAAATGTAACAAGAAAAAAGGTATAAAAGCTGTAACCTACAAAAATAAAGTGCTGTGTTTCGACTGTAAGTTACACAGATCTCCAGACACCGCTTTACTTTCTTCTTTCATTTCTGCACACTCTCTCCCTCAGGTTGAACAAGACATCTACGTTGGTGGTCTCGGGGACTCCCGCAGGTCGGTAGCCCCCAGCAGATGTGCCGGACCTCAACAAGTGACATTAAGGGAATGGGCTACATTTTCAGCAAGTTGGAGGAACAAGTTCTTGTCTTTTTTGGAAGTTCCAGCACTGGCTTATTTAATATATCATAGTACACTGGCTGGTACACTGGCTGGGACAAGCATTTTTGGATTTTTCCCCAAATCTGGATACTGACTCTAGGATCAAGTCCTTTCCCATCAATTGCTAACATATTCGCTCTCCTCTTTTTCCCATCTGGAGTCTTGGAGGTTTGTGATTATTAATTCTACTGGGTTACAATGTCCCAAGATGCAGAGGACATTACCCCATGGAATGGTGTCCCTTCCTTTTACAAGGCAAACAGGATCATTTTTAATCTTTTCAAGTGGCCCAGATGAGGCAATGATTGATAAGTGCATTCGCTGCCCCAGTAGGTTCTCTGGCAGATATACTTATGCTCTTTCATGTAACTTTGTTCCCATCCAAGGGAACCATAGCCCCCCATCACTGGGATAATAGGCATTGATGGCCACATGTGCATCAAACCTTAGGGTGACCTGCTTTGGGCTTCCCTTCTCCTCTGTTTTAGCTATTAGTAGGGCTGTTCCATTGCCCTGTTAGGAGTTTAATTTCAAAAGCTGTTTATGTAGGGGGTTTTGGTGGATTGTAGCAGACATCAGGCTGTTCATCCCCTGGATTACACACCTTATACTGAGTACCATTATGTAAATAGGTTCCCTTCTGTGTCCCTGTACATTCATAGCAACTGTAGAATGAAACAATGGCAGGAACTTTACGTCCTACCTCACTAACCTGGTGCACACACTGAGAGCATTCTTCAAAATCAGTTAATGTCCCTACTGTACAAGTCCAAATATTAAGAAGAATAAGTCCCACGATGAACTTTCTCATGCTTTGGTCGTGCGTGGACCAGTCAGCTTCCAGGATGTGGCTGGAGCAGGGCTTGTTGTCCTTCTTAAAGTGATTGTTGTCCGGGTCTGGTCTAGCTTCCCAAGTTTCAGCTGCTGCTGGTTTGATGCAGCTCTGGTGGATCCAGGCTGAGACTCCCTCTACCTTTAAAGCTGTGGGAGTGGTCAGGATCACGGTCTGGGGTCCTTTCCACCATGGCTTCAGAGGGAATGCATTCCAGTCCTTTATTCACACACAATCACCTGGTGAGAAAGGGTGAACTGGGGAGAATAAGCTCACAGGACATCTCTCATTTACCCGGGTTGAAATATCCTGAGTGATTTTTCCTAGAGCTTGTAACTGTCATCCTAGCTCAGTCTCTCCCCACTCCTGAGGAGTTCCTGGGAGTGCCCACAGTATGGGAGGCAGCCTATGATATAAGACTTCACAGGGGGAATATCCTGTCTTCTTAGAGGGAGTACATCTAATTTTGAATAACACCAAGGGAAGTGCCTGCACCCATTTAAACCGTGTTTCCTGACACATTTTTCCTAAGCTATTCTTAATGATCTGGTTCATCCCCTCCCCCTTTCTGGAACTCTGTGGTCAAAAGGCAGCATGCAGCTTCCAAGTGATACCCAATGCTATTGCCGTTTTCTGGACCAAATCACCACAAATGCTAGTCCACTGTCTGAGCCAATATGCAATGGCAGTCCAGATCTGGGGATGAGACCTCAAAGAAGCATACGGGTTACTTCATGGGACTTTCAGTCCTAGTCGTGAAGGCCTCAACCCACCCAGAGTATGTGCACACCAGGACCAACAAATACTTATGTCCTCCACACTTGGGCAGATTTCAGTGAAATCTACCTGGAGATCTTCAAATGGAGCTGCTCCATAAGCTGAATGCCAGGTGGATAGTTGGACCCTGCCTCACATTGTGCTGCCAACATGTAATGCATCGCTGTGCCACAGTTTTGGTCAGGGCCAATAAATGTGAGATGTAAAAATACCAGCCTAACAACTTCTTAAGTGACTCTTGGCCTAAATGAGTGGTTTCATGTACGCCCTGTACAGCCACAGCCCCTAAGAGCTGTGGCTACTCTTCCATCTGGGAGCCAGATCCATCCCTCTTTACTATTTGCCCCACTTCTGCGTGGAGAGTCCTTTCCTCCTTAGAATAAGTGGGCACCAAGTCAGGTATCTGGGGAATTAGAGGGGCTGTAACTGCTGTTCAGTAGGGAGTAGATGCTGCCTTAAGAGCTGGTGAATCAGCTTGGGAATTTTTCAGGAGGTATGGACCCGCTGATGTCCTTGGCAGTGAACAAGTGCCACCCTTCAGGGCTTCCAAACTGCTTCTCACAACTGCAAGATTTCATGCCGGTACCTTATTTCTTTTCCCCCTGAATTTAGCAGTCCTTTCTCTTTGTACAGCACCCCATGTACGTGAAGAGTTACAAACGCATACCGGGAATCAGTATAAATGTTCACAGCCTTGCCTTCACTCGTTCTATGGCTCAGGTCAGAGCAAAAAGTTCAGCCTTCTGAGCCGAAGTACCTTGAGCCAGTGGCACGGTCCTAACTACAGTGTCCTGAGTTACCACTGCATAGCCTGCACACCTTTCCCCTCGTGGATTAACAAAACTGCTTCCATCCACATACAACTCCCAGTCTACTACCATCCATGGTTGATCCCGAAGATCAGGCCTGCTGGATAAACTGAGTCCAATACTTCAACACAGTTGTGTTCAACTGGGCCCTCTGACACCGAGAGCAAAGTGGCGGGGTTTAAGATGTTGAAGACCTCAATGATGATGTGGGGATTTTCACATAGTAGGCTCTGGTATTTGGCTAACCTAGCAATTGTCAACCAA